GGGCGGAGCCGACGCAGTACCTGAGAGAGCAGACTCACCAGCACCTGAGGACACAGACTCACTGGCACCTAGAGCGACAGCCTCACCAGCACCTAGAGCAGCAGCCTCAACACCTAGAGCCGCAGTACCAATGCCCGGGTCGAGCTGCTGCGGGGAGAGGGTCTCCTGACCACGCTGCTGCCGCTGCTGCTGGCGCTGACCGCCACCGGAGCCACTCCTCTGCGACGAGCCACGACCGCCTCCGCCGCCTCCTCCGCCGCCGCCGCCACCACCTCCGCTGCCACCGCCACTCCCACCGTCGCCGCCGCCACCACCGCTTCCGCCTCCACTCCCACCACCACCGCCGCTGCCACCCCTGCCTCCACTGCCGCCGCTGACACCTCCACTCCCGCCACCACTCCCGCTACCACCCCCACCTCCTCCGCTGCCTCCACCGCCGCCTCCACCGCCCCCGCCGCCTCCACCACCGCTCCTGCCCCCCTTGCCCTTGCCAGAGCGACGTCTCCCACTGGGGGCAGACGCCGCACCGACCGACTCAAAACCAGCGAGGTCGGCCGTAGCAGCAGAGGCGACAGAGGGCAGGAGGGGGGAGGGGGAACACCCCTCAAAGATGGGGGTGCGCGGGTCACCACGAGAGGCCCCTACAGCGAGAATGCTCTTCTCGGCTGCTAGGAGGGACTTCTCGAGGAGGTCAACAGTGAGAGTGGTGGGGCAGACTTAGAGTAAGTCGTCCCTGACTCCGCGAAGGGAGTCAGGGAGGCGGGTGACAATGTAGTAGAGAGTGAAGTACTGGGGGGGGGGGTTCTAGGCGCAGAACTCAGCAGGAAGTGCAGCGCGGAAGCGAGCGTCACTAGTGCGCAGGTGGGTAATGAGGTCGGCGACTGTGGCAAAAGAAGCAAGGTCGGGAAAGAGGTACGGTAGCATGAGGCGGCTCAGTGTAGCAGTGGCAGGGGTGGAGTAGCGTGCAATAACGGCGTCGTACAAGGTCTGAGCACTCTTGTACGACCCAAAGTGTGCACGCTCAGAGGGAGGGAGGTGGCGACGCACAGCAAGACGTGCAGCAGCATCGCGTGTGGCCCACTGTGAGCGAACAGTGGCATCCTCAGTAGCAGCAGGGGTGGGAGAGGCACCAGAGGTGAGATCAAAGAGAGAGAGGCCGTCAGCTCTGTCGCACTGTAGGAAAAGCAGCAGGTCGTCTACCCACACGTCAAAGTCGATGGCTCTGCCCTCAGCGTCGAAGGTGAGGACACTGGGGGTAGCCATGACAGCAGTAGGGTGAGGGCAGTGCGCAGAGTAAAGCTCAGTGCTCACCAGACAGGGCAGTGCAGGCGGTTCGGGCGGCTCGGGCGGCTCGGGCGGCTCGGGCGGCTCGACTGCTGGGCGGCTCGGGCGGCTCGGCGGCTCGGCTGCTGGGGCGGCTCGGCTGCTGGGGCGGCGCAGTTGCTGGGGCGGCGGGGCCGGGAGATGCAGCTGCGGGGCCGGGAGATGCAGTGGCGGGGCCGTCAAGGGGGACGGCGGGGCCGTCAGGTGCAGCGGCGGGGCCGTCTGAAGCAGCGGCGGGGCCGGCAGAGGGGACGGCGGGGCCGTCGGGTGCAGCGGCGGGGCCGTCGGAGGGGACGGCGGGGCCGTCAGGTGCAGCGGCGGGGCCGTCGGAGGGGACGGCGGGGCCGTCAGGTGCAGCGGCGGGGCCGTCTGAAGCAGCGGTGGGGCCGGCAGAGGGGACGGCGGGGCCGTCGGGTGCAGCGGCGGGGCCGGCAGTAAGGGACGGCGGGGCCGTTAGAAGGGGACGGCGGGGCCGTCAGGTGCAGCTGCGGGGCCGGCAGGTGCAGCGGCGTGGTCGGCAGCGGCAGTAGCGGGGCCGGCAGCGGCGACGTCGGGGCCTGCAGAGGCAGGCGATGAGGCCGCGTGGGCGGCACTAGGGGGCCGAGAGGGCGGCGCGACGCGGCCGTAAGGCCAGCGCGACGTGGCCCGGGCCGCGCGCGCAAAAAAAAAAAAGGGTCGCGCGCGCGACTTGCGGGGGCCACAAGGGCAGCGCGAGAAGGACTAGGGAGAGCGCGCTTCGGGGAGAGAAGGGCGCGCTCCGGGCAGCGAAAATTTCGTGGGTGGGCCCTTCAAAAAAATGGTCCTTAGGAAGGACCCGCTCTATACCATGTTGAGATTAGAGAGAGAATGGGTGCACTATGAAATGAAAGAAGTACAAGTACCAACCCTAATTGGGTTGTACCCCCTATGGGCTACCCCACTACAGCCTAAATATATGCATCAGCAATATAATCATCTGACACGAAGGCACCAAGGGGCGAAGGTTACATTGTCGTAGCTTTCCAGTTGCGGCATGGAAGTGACATTCTAGCAACATTGACTCTCAGCGCTTTTCCGCAGCTCCAAGTTGTTTTTCCGCAGCTTTTCCGCAAGAAAAGCTACCGTGCACACTTTTGTGTGCACGAACTTTTTCGCGATGGCCAACGGGTGTTTTGTTTGTACTAATATCGTCGATTCTCAACCCAACGGGTGTTTTGTTTTACCTCAACGCGTGGATCCACGGCGGGACACCCCATGCGGCCCGCCGAGCGAACTAGATATTCCCGAGATCACATTACTCGTTAGATCCCCTGGAGAAATCTCAACCGTCAGGTTACCGAGAGTCTCGACGTCTTTTGGCTTGGGCAACGGGCATGGGCCTGCATCTGGGGGTCCACCCTTCCCGCCATTTTTGCCATTCTTGTCATTGACAGGGCGCGCCGTCGTGATCGCTGCGAATCTGATGGAAGAAATGACACACATGGAATTAAGCTTGTATCTGACGCGTGGAAAATGAAACATCTCGCTGAGATTGATTCACTGGATCCCATGGCTGATTTCACAGGTAGCAGAGGCGAATTTTCGAATAGGACTCACCGACGGATGCTGTGACAACTAGGAGAAAAATTGACAAGTCGAGGTACCGGTAACGGTGGAGCCCCATAGCGAGCGAATTCCCCTAACTGCTGTATCTATTCCTAGAGATTGGAGAACAAGGAACCTGGCTGCGTGATCAGGAAGTGAATGGTGAAGATGCCAGTCTGGTTTTGCAGTAGTGGGTATTTATTATCTCCAATCAAAGCTGAGCTTAGTGGTGGTCACACAAGCCTGTCGGTACGGTCCAACATTAGAAACTACGGTATCAAACGATACACCTCAGTTTCTTGACATGTCCTCGTGGACTAGAGCTTTCAACATGCGCTGTGGGAAAATAGGAGAATGCGCTGCGACATTCAGAAGGACGCATTTGGCGGGGTACCCGGCGGGAAAAGAGAGTACGGACAATCGTGCAATCATTGCCGATATTTTTTCTGCAAACACCAGTGGTAGATGGTGACAAAGGTGGGTAGGATCTGAGTTCTCGCCCACCACTTCAGTATTTTACGTCTGACTTCTGTATCCTGGCAAAATAAATACACCGTATTCTCCCGGACATAACACCCTAGGCAATAGCTAAAAATACAGGGAAAACATGGGGGGGGTCTCCTCATAGGAAAAAAATACATAATACCCGGGTCTTTACATATGGCATATCTTAGTGTTAGTGTTTTTTTAATCAGTCAATGTGGGTGTTTTGCTGGTCGTTTTAGCATCACTGCCTGAGGCGCGAATGTGAGTTTCGGCCTCGAACTTCATCGCCCCCACGAAAATGGCATGTGGCACCTCTCTTGCCACTTGCAACGGAAGATTCACCTGCACGTGGCGACAGAGAAATAGTGGGAGGGGGCAAATCTCGGCAGATTGCCTTTGAATGTGCTCCCAGGAGGGGGTTCGCACGTGCTCACTCTGGGAGTGGATATACCTCAACCTCGTTGACCCAGCAAGTCTAAACAATTGGTGAGGCGGGTTACGACCGACAACCAGGTGTGGGTAACACCCAAAGGGGTTTCCCCCCCTCCTTTACCTTTACCTCTTGCCCCACTCCGAAGAGATGTGGATGTGAGTCGTCGTAGAGAACGGAAGCCAATTGCCGAACAGAAAATGTCAGGTGAAAGCTCGTGGCAGCTTTCCTCAGGCCTTTTGTGCTCTCCCTGCCACACGCGCAATTAGCACAGGTGGCGCAGCAAGATTTTCCATGAAAGGGAGTGCGCTTACAGTCTCACCACAAGAACACAACACTACATTAGCAACAACACCACATTTGAACCTTATGTTGACGATTTATGTGCTCTTGAGAGTGATGAAACTTGCTTACCATCCTTGCTGTCATCTAGCTTACAACCAAGGTGTTCATAGTTGGCTGACATATTCAGGGGTACAACCAATTATCATCCCCCATGTGCAGCTAAGAGACAGCTTCAAGCTCTCATCACACCGCTCTGTAAATGCGGTGCGCCGAGCCGAAAGACCTCCTACCTGTCAGAGTGGGTGGGGTTGTTTTCAGGGCTTGTGCTGAAATCAAGGCGCCTTTGGCCAATGTAAATACGGTACGTGCCCCGCTATAACTGTGAGTGGGCACGTACATGTGGGGAGGGGGGTTGCTGGGGCAGCTAGGGCACACAGAGGCAATACTAGGGCCATGTACGGGGATGGGAGAGGCAGTTTCCCCCCCATCCTCTCCGTTTTGTCGGTGGAAACACATGGGCGCGGGTGCACCGAACCTTAGTATTGGACGCTTCATTACGGTAGGTTTCCTGTCTAGCGTGACCTGAGAGATACAATCGCACGCATTGGTGCACAGAAATGGCAATGTAGTAGTCATGTTTGGTGTGCTCAAAGCCGAGTCTAATGGCAATTGAGTACAGAAGTCTTGTATTAAGCGTTGGTGAGGCGTCAAGTGTTGGTGGGGCCCACAGAGGTGCTTGCGGGAGGGCTTTGCAGGCTACATGTGAAGCCAGAGGGGGGGTTTTTAATGAGCAAATTCGTTGAAACAGAACTATACAAGGCAACAAGGCAACAAGGCAACAAGCCAACAAGCCAACCCCATCTTCTACAGTATCAACCTAGCCCAATGGTCCCAATCCCAGCCCAATGGGCTCTCAGGCAAGTCCGTTTCTGACTTTGATGGCCAACTCACTGGGGTACAAGGACTCTTCTGCATCCAATAGGCTGGCTTTAATGGCCAATTTGCTAGACCCTTCACGACCACCCTTGGTGACTTTGAGGAAAGCCCCGTTCGCTGCACCGTTCTCGAAAGTCTTGGTGTAGATGAGAGCGGAGTAAGCATCAGGAGCAGCCAGAATGGCATCAACCAGCTCCTTATACGTCTGCCCGTTATCCGCCGTCAAAGTACTGGCGCTTAGCCAAGTACCGATCATTTCGTAGGCGTAGCCAAGGGGAAGTTGGGGCGGAGGAGGCGGCTGCTTGCCCTTCTTGCCCTTGGGCTTCGGTTTGCCGCCCAGCTTGGCGCGCTCGGCATCTGAGAGCGTGTTATTGAGCCATGTGGCGTCGCTGGTGTCCACGGTGAGTGCCACGTCAGCGCCTTTCTTGATGACGATGCTGGTGGGCTCTCCAGAGTCAGTTAGATTCACGCGCACGGAGTAAGTAATGTCGTAGTCGTTAGCGTCGCTCCTGGGGGGGTACGTGGTCAGCAGGGGTAAGCAGAGGTAAGCAGAGATAAGCAGGGGTAAGCAGGGGTCTGCAGAGGTAAGCAGAGGTAAGCAGGGGTAAGCAGAGGTAAGCAGGGGTAAGCAGAGGTAAGCAGGGGTAAGCAGAGGTAAGCAGGGGTAAGCAGAGGTAAGCAGGGGTAAGCAGAGGTAAGCAGGGGTATGCAGAGGTAAGCAGGGGTAAGCAGAGGTAAGCAGGGGTAAGCAGAGGTAAGCAGGGGTAAGCAGAGGTAAGCAGGAGCAAAGAGTGGTAAGCTGTGGCGTTCCCGGGGGAGGTGGCAAGGAGGGGCAGGGAGGTGGCAAGGAGGAGCAGGGAGGGGCAAGGGATCGGGTGCTTGGACATGGGACTGGGTACAGAATGAGAATTGAGTTGAACGAGGCTGGAGAGAAGGAAGGGAATGATGGGACAGTTAACAGGAAGACGGTAAGGAGAGATTGAGAGAGTGAGGGGCGAAAAAGGAAAACGAGAAGTGATTCGTGAGAAGAGAAGAAAGTGAAGCTTACTGAAAGACGGCGAGGGAAATGCAGCCTGTGGCGTTGACGTCACCGCTGAGGTCAGCATCGGAGCCGTTGACTCGCGCTTCCAACACAGCTGCACGAAATCGCGTAATCACGGAAAGGAAAGAATGCTTGTGGAATGTGAAAGTGCTACAGAAAAGGGAATTGGAGCTGATTAGACGCGCCGCCACTGAACCTTGAGAACGGGAGGGGGCACGGTGGGTGGTTGATTGCCAAGCAAGAATATATGCAAGAGTGGGGGAGGCAAGAGAGCAGGAAAAGGTTAGGAGGGGAAAGACCTTCGGCTCCACTTCTTTTGCGCTTACCGATAGGAGCGCCGAACGAATCGCCTCCATTTTTGCCCCCTCCATTCTTCCCACCATCCTTCCCGCCCTTCTTCCCGCCATCCTTCCCGCCATCCTTCCCGCCCTTCTTCCCCTTAGGCGGCGGCGGAAGCGGGTCCGACTGAAACTGCCCCCGCGCCGCACCCGACTCATAATCAGTGGTCGCGAATGTCGCGTAGTACCCGTCCGGCGTCGAGATTATGGAAACCACCAGCTCCTTCAGTGTCTGCCCGCCGATCGTGGACAGCGTACTCGCTTTGAGCCACGTCCCGTTAGTGGCATAAGTGTACTTCGGAGGAGGTGGGGCGGGCGGAGTGCCCTTGTTCTTCTTGCCCTTAGGCGGGGGAGGCGGCGGACGAGTAAGATTTGCCCACGTGGCAGTTTCCCCTGCCGCGACAGTATTATGAACGGCGGTTCCTGCCTCTCCCGCCGCGCCTTGATAGATCGAAGCGGCGAACGGCTCGGCGTCGTCGGAGGTGGAGGTGACGACACTGTAGAGGACGTTGTAGTCGCCGTCTAGCCTGACGATTTCCGTCAGGTTCACACAAAGAGAGCAGACGGGAGGAATGGAATGCGCATTGCTCAAGCATGTGAAGGCATTTTCGAAAAGATGGTGTGGAGTAACGGAAAGCGACCGTTGAGTTTATTCAAGGGTTAGGTGGAAGGGAAAGAAGCACAGAGAGCCAGGTGGGCGCACAGAGCACGAGCAGAAAGCGACCGTTGTGTAGGTGGGTGGAAGGGGAAAGGCAGGTGGAAGGGGAAAGGCAAGTGGAAGGGGAAAGGCAAGTGGAAGCGAGTTCATTCAAGGGTTAGGTGGACGGGGAAAGGCAGCACAGAGGACCGAGTGGGCTCATAGAGCACGAGTGGCTGGGCTTACTCGAAGACGGCGAGGCACGACATGCAAGTGAGAGGTACGTGAGGAAACCTATGACTCAGATGGATGAAGCGGCTTACTCGAAGACGGCGAGGCAGACTCGCCCGGTGGCGTTGACGTCGCCCGTCGCCCCAACCACTTCGGATCCGTTCAGCCGCGCGGCGAGAATCGCTGCGCGGAGACGCGGAGAGGGGGTACGCCGAGAGGAGGGCACGCGGAGGGGAGAGGAGCGGGGGAGCGAAAGGGTGTAGGAGAAGGGCGGAGAGGTCAGTGAGCGCGCGAAGGAAGAGGTGAGAGGAGAGGCGAGAAAAGGAGAGAGCTGGTGTTTTGTTTGTGAATCCTTTTGAATCTCGTCGATGCGTGTTTCAACTCAACGCGTGTATCCTCGAACGGACAGGCCACGCCGCCCGGCAGGCGTCTAGACGTTCCCGAGATTCTATCACCCGTCAGATTCCCTGGAGAAATCTCACCCGTCAGATTCCCGAGAGCCTCAGCGTCTTTCGGGTTGGGCAGCGGGCACGGGCCCGCGTCGGGGGGCCCCTTTTGCCCGCCCTTGTCCTTCCCGTCCTTCACAGGGCGTGCCGTTGTGATCGCTGCGCAGCAGATGGAAGAAAACGAGCACATGGAATGAATGAGAAACTAACAGCTGAATTGAACGCATGGGTAAGTGATAAATCCAGGGGATTCGACTGACATTTAATCAATATTAGTGATAATTAGTAGTACTAATGTCACTCACCGAAGGATGCTGTGACAACTAGGAGTAAAATCGACAAGCCGAAATAACGGTGGAGCCCCATCGTGGACCAAAATCCCCTAGCTGGTGAATCAATTTCTAGAGAATAGAGAATAGGGAAATGGATTGTTGGCTGGGTGATGAGATAGCGAACGAAGAAAATACTTGATATCTAGATCTCCAGCCGAGAGGCAAAGAACAAAACATTTCAGTACGGTGCTGAAGAAGCATCGGTGCACAGAGGTACAACTCGATTCCAGAAAATTTTTGGGGTATCTTGTGACACGAGAATGCGTGACGACATTACATGGACGCAATTGGCGGGTTACCTGGCGGGAAAGGTCACCACAATGCTTGTGAGATATTGGTACGATAAGTGGGCAACCTGCCTAAAATTCTTCTGCAAGCGGGAAATGTAACGAAGGTGGAGGGAGAGTGGAGGAGTGCGGGAGTTGAGTTTTAGACCACCTGAGTTTTGGTCCATGGAAAATACTACACTTGGTTGTGGATCTTTTCGAATCGCCCGGGCAGCCTAGTCGAAAAGTAAATCGCCGCGTTTTGCAACCTCACGCCGCGGATGAATCGCCGCAGGGCACGGAAACCAATCAAAAGCATAAAATCAGGTGAAACCTTGTGGCGCCTTTTCTCATGAGTCACGACGAACGATGCGTGTGCTCCGCCCCGCTGCAAGCGCAATAAACCTGGTCAAAGACTTTCTTGACTGTCGTTGTTGGCGCAGAGTATGGCGAAATTTTCCATACAGAGGATAAACCGATACGAAAACAACGGTAGATTAGAAAATACCGATGTCTTAATTCCAGATAGAGCATCGTTAAATCAAGTTTACGTTTCACATTCAGCTTATAGCGAAGGCTGACAGATTCAGAGAGCTCAGCCAGATTCAAGCCCCCACACCCCTCTCAAAGCACCGCGCGCCGAGCCGAAGCCCTTGTCAATTTGGCCAAATTTCCTGTGCAATATCTAGGGAGTGACCGTTGAGGTTCGATCAGGCAGCCCTTCGTGCAATATCTAGGGTGACCGCTGAGGGCCAAATTTCTTACCGCTTTTCATGCAAAGCACCCTCCCATACACTTCCTGCAAAAGGAGCGTGCCGTTGATAATTTCCCGCGTTTCTCGCGCCTCAGCTTCCGAACCGCCTCTCCGTTGGTTGCGCGCTTCGGTTCCGCCCAGCTCGCCACCTTGAGCTACAGGTTAGCTAGGCTCCATTCGAAGTACCAATGGACGGGCTTGTTCGCGACAACGCCAGCTTTACCGCTTCTCCAGCCGTACCTACCGCCGCACCTCTCGCCGCGATCGCCGGTCTCTCCCAGCCCGTGGAAAGCGCGCTCTACCTCTGGGGATACAATCTCCGCGGGCAGACCAGCCACCGCGCGGGGCTTCGCGGGGATCCGCGCAGGTGGCGCTGCCAGCGCGCGCCGCTGCGGATCGCGCGGGAGAAGTTCCGCGCGCGGGACGGGCAGCCCGTAGCGCTTGTTAGCGTGGCGTGCGGATTGGAACATAGCGCGGCGGTGGGGATCGATGGGAGCCTGTTCACGTGGGGGTCGAACGAGTACGGGCAGCTGGGCGACGGCACAGAGCAGAGCAGCAAGTGCGTTGACTCCGTTGACTCCATTGACTTGACTTTATCCCTGGGGATTGATGGGAGCCTGTCTACGTGTGGGTCGAATGAGTACGGGCAGCTGGGCGACGGAGCAGCTATGTTGACTGCATTGACTCCGTTGACCTGTTTTACTACCTTAGTCAGCACAGAGCACTGAGATGCGACAGACTCGGATCCCCGTTTTCTCCGTTCCTACAGGTGAAGCGGTGACTGCTGTGGCTGGTAACGCGCAGTGCCCTGCTGGCATCAACCCCTCCTCTGTTTCCCTCGTTTTCACTCCTCTCCGTCCTCTTCTTTTCCCTCGTCCCACGATTTTCCTACAGGGAGCCAATAAGGTTAGCAACTTTGGGGGAGGCAGGGGAGGAGGTGACTGCTGTGGCGTGCGGCGCGCAGTGCACTGCAGCTATCACTCCCTTCCTCTGTGATCTTCCTCTGTCCCCATCTCCCTGCAGGGAGCCCATAAAGGTACCAGCGTTAGATGAGGCAGGGGAGGAGGTGACTGCTGTGGCGTGTGGCGCGCAGTGCACTGCTGTCGTAACCTCCTCTGTTTCCCTCTTTTTCACTCCCCTCCCTCCCCTTCTCTCCCCTTGACCTGTTATTTTCATGCAGGGAGCCTATAAGAGTGGCAGCTTTAGAGGAGGCAGGGGAGGAGGTGACTGCTGTGGCGTGTGGCGCCCAGTGCACTGCAGCTATCACCAGGCGGAGAGCAGACGGGCGGGGGAGGGGGAAGAGGAGAGGGGGCAACGCGGAGCATGGGGGTAGCGGGGAAGAGGAGGGGCGCCTGTGGGTATGGGGCCAGAACCAGGTGGGTGCAAATCTGTGCTGGTAGGTAGAAACCTGTGTGGGCTGGTTTAGAGCGGTACTATCAGGTGGTAGCTGGTCGGCTTATCGCGACCAGCTTTTGTTCTTATCATCAGCAATCCCGTTATCAAAACGAATGCTTTGACTCACTTTGCATTTCCTCTCTCTTCGTGTCCTTTCTTTTCATTTCCTCTCTTTTTATTTCCCTCATGTCCTTTCTTTTCATTTCCTCTCTTTTCATTTCCCTCATGTCCTTTCTTTTCATTTCCTCACTATTTATTTCCTCGCTCGGCAGAATTCGAACCTCCCTCGTCTTATGCAAGGAGCCTTCCCCCCCAAAACTGTGAGCCCTGCCCTTCAATCTGGCTTTCATTATAGTCACCCACTGTGTCAACTGTCCTTCATCTATTCGTTTGTATGCTTGTTCATTCATCTGCTCGTCCGTCAGTCTTCATGCTTAAACCCAAACAAGCCCCAGACGATTTGTTAGCATGCATCCCAGTGTGGTTGGTTGGGGTGGGTTGGGGTGGGTTTGGGGTGGGTTTGGGTGGGTTGGTGTGCAGGTGGCAAGTCAAGTCTATCTATCGTCAATACTTGTGATATTTGTAATTTCCCCTTCCTCTCACACCCTTCCGCCCCCCTCACTGTCAACCCGCCCTGCCTCCTGATCAATTCCCAGGTGGTTGTTCAGGTGTCTTGTGGCGACTCACACGCTGCTGCTGTGTCCAACTCTGGCCTGCTGCAGACATGGGGTGCGTGGGAGAGGTATCTGACTCATTCCCAGGTGATTATTCAGGTGTGTCTCCTAGTGAATCACACGCTGCTGCTGTGTCCCACACCGGCCTGCTGCAGACGTGGGGTGAGGTAGTGCGACACGTATAATCAGGGCATGGCCTGGGGTGAAAGGGAGAGGTGTCCGGCCCTCTTCCACGGACATGCCTCTTCCTCATCTCTTTCTCCCAGCAGTTGCTGCCGATTTGTTTTGAGAATTCTCGAAACGAACCTGATAATGAAAGGAGAGGTGTCTGGCGTTCTTCCAGGGACAGGGGGCTGCTGCAGCGCCCACTCCTCATCTCCTCCTTCCAGCGGTTGCTGCCTGGGCGATGTGCTGCCTGGGCGATGTGCTGCCACCATGGCTGTCTCACACCCGTCTTCTGTGCCCCGCTCTCTCCACCTCACCGTCACGCCTCCCTCCTCCAGGCTACAACGAGCATGGGCAGCTGGGCATCGGCAGGGCGTGTGACGGGCTACAGAAGCCGCACCTGGTGACCTCCTTCCAGCGCTTTCTAGACGACCCGCCTCTCACGTGCCCTCATGGCGTTCGCATCGTGGCGGTGGCGTGTGGGGGGTTTCACACCGCTGCTGTCGACGCCCGGGGCGAGATGTGAGTGCCAGTGTGTGTATGCGTGCACACAAGAACACTCACCTGGTGACCTCCTTCAGCGCTTCCTGGATGACCCGCCTCTCACGTGCCCAGACAGTATTCGCATTGTGGCAGTGGCGTGTGGGGGGTTTCACACCGCTGCTGTCGACGCCCGCGGCGAGATGTTAGTAGACAGGCAGAGGCAGAGGCAGAGGCCTAAATATCAGAGGCAGAGGCAGAGGCAGAGCAGAGGCCTAAATATCAGAGGCAGAGGCAGAGCAGAGGCCTAAATATCAGAGGCAGAGGCAGAGCAGAGACCTAAATATCAGAGGCAGAGGCAGAGCAGAGACCTAAATATCAGAGGCAGAGGCAGAGCAGAGACCTAAATATCAGAGGCAGAGGCAGAGCAGAGACCTAAATATCAGAGGCAGAGGCAGAGCAGAGACCTAAATATCAGAGCCAGAGGCTGAGGCAGAGGCAGAGGCAGAGGCAGACAGGGACGAACGCCTGACCTGCCCCAACGGCATTCATATCGTGGCCGTGGCATGGGCGAACAGAAGAGGGTGGGACATGTGACCAACAGATAGCCTGAGTGGGCTATCTGTTGAGTCGACTCAGAAGAGGGTGGGACATGTGACCAACAGATAGCAACACTGCACGGGTGGGAGCACCTGGGGAGGGGGTTACCAGGGAGGGGGTTACCGGGGCAAATGCGTCACACACTGGAAAGGCATGGGCCAACCCGATTCTGTATCCCCTTCTAACTATGCAAGGGCAGGTACACTTGGGGAGGGGGTTGACTGGGGCAGCTGGGTCGTCCGCAGGAAAGACATGGGACACTCTAATCCCTTATGGTGTTACTTTTGAGTATTTTCAAAAGATTTTTTTAGGCGCTTTTTAGAATTCTCAACAGTAACACCAACATGGGACACTCTGATCCGTTATGGCATGCCCACCATCATACCCCCATTTCCCATGTTTTCCATGCATGGGCAGGTACACGTGGGGACTTTTGAATCGACTCAGAAGTCACCTTATGGCACGCCCACCATCATACCCCCATTTTCCATGTTTTCCATGCATGGGCAGGTACACGTGGGGAGGGGGGTTGATGGGCCAGCTGGGGCACCGAACGCTGCAGGCTCGGGGCGGCACGTGCGAGGTGGTGCCGAGGCGGGTTGTGGCACTTGAAGGAGTTTCAGTAACGCAGGTGGCGTGTGGCCGCACCCACACATGCGCCCTCACCCACAGGTGGGTCTGCTGAGTGCGTATGCATGCACTGCACACACATGCGCAAACAGGCTCGGGGCGGCACGTTTGAGGTGGTGCCGAGGCGGGTGGTGGTTCTGGAAGGGGTTTCAGTGGCGCAGGTGTCTTGTGGCCGCACCCACACATGCGCCCTCACCCACAGGTGCGTGTGTAACATATCTCAAAGCTCTTACTCCTCTGCAATTTTTGAGGCACCCCAAAGCTCCTCTGCTGCACCATCCTACCCCCGCTCCCACCCCCAACCCCCTTCCCCACTACAGGGGCGCTCTCTACATCTGGGGCGCTGGCAGGGACGGGCAGCTAGGCACAGGCCCCACTTGTGGTTACATGATAGGAAATGCTTTTGGATTCCATCGACTCTCCCTGCTCCCTGCTCCCTTCCCTTCCCTTCCTTCTTTCCAATCTGCCATCCCACCCTCATCCGTCCTCCCAGGGGCGCTCTCTACATCTGGGGAGCTGGCAGGGACGGGCAGTTAGGCACAGGCCCCACCTCCGCCTCCTCCTGCGATGGGATGCTCTTGACTTTTATTTAGTCTCCTAATTTCTTCCTTCTTCTTTCTTCTTCCCGCTCTGTCAATCCCCGCACTCGCAATCCCCACTACAGGGGCGCTCTCGACATCTGGGGGGCTGGCAGGGACGGCCAACTGGGCACAGGCCCCACCTCCGCCTTTACCTAAACCCAGTTCCTCCCGTTCCCGTGCCCTCCCGTCTGTGCACCCCCACCCCCCTTCCCCACTACAGGGGCGCTCTCTACATCTGGGGAGCTGGCAGGGACGGGCAGCTAGGCACAGGCCCCACCTCCGCCTCCTCTGCCCCCACCTCTTCCTCCTCCTCGCTGCCCTCGTCCTCCTCATCCTGCCCCTCCTTCCATCACCTACACACCGGCTTCACCAGCAATACCACAGCCAGCAGCAACAGCAGATTTGGAGGGCCGTTTGGAGGGGGGTTTGGAGCAGGGGCGAGTGGGGGAGGGTGCTCGTCTCTGGATTTTGTGAGAGGGCTGGTGCAGCGACAGCCGCTGCTGCTCATGCCCAAGGGCGTGCGGCTGGTGACGTGTGGGCAGGTGAGAGGGTGGGGCAGGTGAGAGGGTGGGGCAGGTGAGAGGGTGGGGCAGGTGAGAGGGTGGGGCAGGTGAGAGGGTGGGGCAGGTGAGAGGGTGGGGCAGGTGAGAGGGTGGGGCAGGTGAGAGGGTGGGGCAGGTGAGAGGGTGGGGCAGGTGAGAGGGTGGGGCAGGTGAGAGGGTGGGGCAGGTGAGAGGGTGGGGCAGGTGAGAGGGTGGGGCAGGTGAGAGGGTGGGGCAGGTGAGAGGGTGGGGCAGGTGAGAGGGTGGGGCAGGTGAGAGGGTGGGGCAGGTGAGAGGGTGGGGCAGGTGAGAGGGTGGGGCAGGTGAGAGGGTGGGGCAGGTGAGAGGGTGGGGCAGGTGAGAGGGTGGGGCAGGTGAGAGGGTGGGGCAGGTGAGAGGGTGGGGCAGGTGAGAGGGTGGGGCAGGTGAGAGGGTGGGGCAGGACCGTTTGGGTGGGGATTTGGAGCCGGGGCGCTAGGGGGGGACGGGTGCTCATCTCTGGATTAAGTGAGAGGGCTGGTGCAGCGACAGCTGCTGCTGCTCATGTCCAAAGTGACTTTTGAGTCGACTCAAAAGACAGCTGCTGCTGCTCATGTCCAAAGTGACTTTAGAGTCGACTCAAAAGACAGCTGCTGCTGCTCATGTCCAAAGTGACTTTTGAGTCGACTCAAAAGACAGCTGCTGCTGCTCATGTCCAAAGTGACTTTTGAGTCGACTCAAAAGACAGCTGCTGCTGCTCATGTCCAAGTGGGTGCGACTTGTTACTTGTGGCAGGTGAGGGAATGTGATGGTTCTTCTGTCTTTACATCCCTCTCTCGCCTGTGCTGCTTCACTCCCTCCCTCTCCCCCGTGCGTGCTGTGATCCCAGGACCACACGCTAGTTGCAATGGCAGACGATCAGATACTAGGGTGGGGCTACAACAGCTGTGGACAAGCAGCAACTGGCAGAGAGTCCTATGCATGGCTGCCCATGCACGTGGACTGGTGTGTGGGTAAGGTACAGGCATTGGCGGCAGGGGGAGGCCATTCCGCTGTGCTCACTGTCGCAGACTCGCTGAAGCTTCTTACTGAGTTCCGATTGGCCCATTCCCTCGACTTCTCTCTTCGCCGCCCGGGGGGATTTTCGGAGTGTGCGAAAAAATTTTACGGGCTGCCCGGGGAGGAAGGCAGTGGAGAGGAGGAGGATGGGGAAGTGATGCTGCGTCGCCAGCTGGCGTTGGCGGAACGAATTGTGGAGGAGTCGCATAGGCTCGGGGCTGACTCACTCGTGCGCTACAGCCTGCAGTTCTGGTGGGTGGTGTTGTGCGCTACAGCCTGGTGGGTGTTTCAGCAGGTATACGGAGGGGTACAGCTTGCTGTTGGGTGAAGTTGGGTTACAGCCCTGTGATTGTAGTGAGGGTGCGAACCTACGTGCATGTGCATGTGTGCTTCAGCCGATGCTATGGGGATTTTGTATGCATCCTTTTATGTGTGTTTTTTTGTTAATGTGGTTCTTTTTTCTTTTATTGATATCCCTGGCAGGCTTAGAGTCACAAGTGACGTCGACCCAGATATGGATGAAAAGGAGCAGCCTGCAGCAAGGGGACGTCGTCAACAATCCATTATGGTGTAATTATTGTGTATATGCATATAGTTCGTATATATTGTAGTCTCACTAGAGTCAGAATTGCTCAAAAACATTATTTAGAACCATAATCCTTGGCAAACTAGCTTCTGTACATTTTCGTTCCTGAATAATCTTGGTTCATGACGATTGTCTACTTAGAACACCTGATTGAACGCACTATGTGTTGAAGATCCGAGACCAGCTACAGTGTGTGCATTCTGGCTTGGTTACAGCATCCCTCCAGCCTAGAGATTCTCCTTCCTTCGTTACCTACATACCAGCACCAGTTCTCACGAGCTGCGCGTCGCTGACTGGCTCAAATTCTTCAATTAGCAAAAATAACTTCGAGCGTTTGAATTGTACTCGTTTCATTGTCGTTCAGGTTCCTTGCTTTCAAGTTTTGTGTTTCCTCCTATCCTCGTCCTGAATCTCCTCTCTCGTTTCTTCTCTGACTCCGCCTCCGGGCATGGCGAAAGATGAGGAGAGGGAGGGAAGGACGGCTCGCAGAAGCAAGAGTAGGAGTCGCAGCCGAAGCAGGGACCGAGACCGAGGTAGGGACGGTGACAAGGTGAAGGAAAAAGATCGAGGTCGGGATAAAAAGCGCGACCGCGACAGGGATAAGGCGAGCGACAAGGATAAGGCGAGCGACAAGGATAAGGCGAGCGATAAGGATAAGAAAGGTGACAAGGATAAAGCGGGCGACAAGGTTAAAACGGGCGACAAGGATAAGGCGGGCGACAAGGAACGACGGGATCGTCGCAGCAAGCGGAGTCGCAGTCGGTCTCCAGATCGTAAGCGTCGCAGCCGCAGTCGCTCGCCAGATCGCAAGCGTCGCAGCCGCAGTCGCGACCGGGAGAAGCGACGGAAGAGCAGCAGGAGCAGGAGCAGGAGCAGGAGTGGGGAGCGCGAAAAGGAGAAGAGCCGAGCTGACGAACGTGTTGCTGCCAGGGACGGTAAAGAGGAAGAAATATTAGAATCCAAAGAGTTGGGAAAGGATGTCAAGGAAGATTCGCGGGTGGATGTGAAAGGGAATGCAGCAGCGGAGGAGGGAAAGGTGGCTGGACAAGTTAACGGGGCGAAAGAAAGCGAGAAACAGAACGGCGATTCTGCTGCTGGTGGTGCTTCTGCTCCAAAGAAGCAGGAGGTACGGGGTACAAGCGGAAATATAATTATTTCTTATGCGGAATTTCACTATGTAGTAGCGTTTCTTCCTTACGGACATATTTGCCCGAGTATCTTCGATCTGTTGATCCCGTCCTTCCTCCCTGATCCGTGCTGCAATGCGCCTGTTGTGTTGTGCAGCCCTTGTCGTTGGAGGAGCTGCTGAAGAAACGGAAAGAGGACGCCTTGCAACAGGCCAAGGTATTTCTATGGTTGTAGTAAATGCATGTGTTGCTGCTGAACTATATCGTGGTTGCATCCAATGTCAATCTGATTCATTTCAGTACATCCAATGTCGCTCTGATGCATTTCAGTGCATTCAATGTCAGTCTGATTCATTTCAGTGCATCCAATGCCAGTCTGATGCATTTCAGTGCATCCAATGTCAGTCTGATGCATTTCTGTCCATTCAATGTCAGTCTGATTCATTTCAGTACATCCAATGTCGCTCTGATGCATTTCAGTGCATTCAATGTCAACCTGATTCATTTCAGTACATCCAATGTCATTTTGATGTATTTCAGTGCATTCAATGTCAGTCTGATTCATTTCAGTGCATCCAATGTCAGTCTGATGAATTTCAGTGCATCCAATGTCAGTCTGATGCATTTCTGTCCATTCAATGTCAGTCTGATTCATTTCAGTACATCCAATGTCGCTCTGATGCATTTCAGTGCATTCAATGTCAACCTGATGCATTTCAGTACATCCAATGTCATTTTGATGTATTTCAGTGCATTCAATGTCAGTCTGATTCATTTCAGTGCATCCAATATCAGTCTGATGCATTTCAGTGCATCCAATGTCAGTCTGATGCATTTCAGTGCATCCAATGTCAGTCTGATGCATTTCAGTGCATCCAATGTCAGTCTGATGCATTTCTGCCCATTCAATGTCAGTCTGATTCATTTCAGTGCATCCAATGTAAGTCTGATGCATTTCAGTGCATCCAATGTCAGTCTGATGCATTTCAGTGCATCCAATGTCACTCTGACGCGTTTCAGTGCATCCAATGTCAGTCTGACGCGTTTCAGTGCTTTCAATGTCAGTCTGACGCGTTTCAGTGCATCCAATGTCAGTCTAATGCATTTCAGTACATCCAATGTCACTCTGATGCATTTCAGTGCATCCAATGCCAGTCTGATGCATTTCAGTGCATCCAATGTCACTCTGACGCGTTTCAGTGCATCCAATGTCAGTCTGACGCGTTTCAGTGCTTTCAATGTCAGTCTGACGCGTTTCAGTGCATCCAATGTCAGTCTAATGCATTTCAGTACATCCAATGTCACTCTGATGCATTTCAGTGCATCCAATGCCAGTCTGATGCATTTCAGTGCATCCAATGCCAGTCTGATGCATTTCAGTGCATCCAATGCCAGTCTGATGCATTTCAGTGCGTCCAATGTCAGTCTGATGCATTTCAGTTCCTCCAAATTCAGTCTAATTTTGCGTTTCAGTTCAGTGCATCCAATGCCGTTCCGTTTGATATGATTTCGCTCCTCTTTCTTCAACCCCCTCCTTCGCCCTAGCCCCTGTTTTTCCTTCTTTCAGATTTCCCCTTCCTTCCTCCTTTTCCCCCATTGTCTCGCCCCCATTGCTCTCCCTCCCCCCCTCTCCCTCCTCACCCTCCACTTCCATCGGATCTCTGCTGTTCAAGCCTGTGTTTCTCACCAAGGAGCAGCGGCAGGCTCTAGCGCTGCAGAGGCGCAAGGCAGAGGCTACGGCTCAGATGAGAAAGTAGGATGGGTGAAAAGATGGGGGGAGGGGGAGGGGGGAGGGGGTAACGGGGGAAACACTTATTTCGAACATTCTTATATTTTCAGTTGACTGCTGGTCACTGTGGTTTCTTTTGAGGCGGTTCAAAAGACATTCTTGTCAGTTGACTTGCTGGTTATTTTGGTTTCTTGGTCGCTGGTGTCTTTGGCCCGTTCCCCCATCCCGTTCACAGTTGTTTCTTCTTTATTCCTCTCTCCTATCCGCTGCAGAATTGAGAACCAACGGCGGGCGCTCAGAGGACTCCCTCCCCTGCCTGGTAGGCAATTTTGGACTTTTCCTCCCAACAACCAGCATGCTTTTTCTTAAACCGACATTAAGATTAGCCTCGTTTTCTGCTTGCATTTCCTTCCACGTTCATTTCTATGTGCTGTCCTCTTGCCTCCTCTTACTACCTCTGGCGCGGCTGTGCGCGGTTGAGAATGCAACTTTTGACTTCGGAGACACTTCAGGTTGCTTCTTTCCACGTCTGGCGCTAGCTCTGTGAGGTTGGTTGGCTCACAAGTTTTCTCGTTCCCCTTTTTGTCCCGCTGGTATTCCGGCAGATGAGAATGCAGAGGACGGTGCTGCAGAGGGCAAGGATGGGGTGAAGGCTGTGGATGCGACTTTGAGTCGACTCTTAACTTTTCTCGTTCTCCCTTTTTCCTCTTTTGATATTCCGGCAGATGAGAATGCAGAGGACGGTGCTGCAGAGGGCAAGGAGAGGGGAAAGGTCTGTGGATGCGACTTTGAGTCGACTCTTAACTTTTCTCGTTCTCTCTTTTTCCTCTTTTGATATTCCGGCAGATGAGAATGCAGAAGACGGTGCTGCAGAGGGCAAGGATGAGGGGAAGGCTGTGGATGCGGATGGGGAGGAGGGGAAGAGGGATGGGGGACGAGGCAGGGATAGCGACCACGGGGGGGACGAGAAGGAAAGGGATGGAGAACGGGAGAGGGAGAGGGGCAGGGATAGGGACAGGGACAGGGATAGGGACGGAGACAGGGATAGGGATAGGGACAGGGAAAGGGAGAGGGAGAGGGATTGGGATAGGGATCGGGATAGGGATAGGGATAGGGATAGGGATAGAGATAGGGATAGGGATAGGGATAGGGACAGGGATAGGGATCGGGATAGGGACCGTGACAGATACCGAGAGAGGGACAGGGATAGAGAAAGGGACAGAGACAGGGACAGGGACAGAGACAGAGAGAGTTACAGGGACAGAGACAGGGACAGGGACAGAGACCGAGACCGAGACAGAGACAGGGACAGGGATAGGGAGAGGGGAAGGGAGCGAGAGTGGGATAGGGACAAGGGGAGGGATGGCGACAAGGGGAAGGAGAAGGGGAAGGGCGAGGAGGGCGGCACTGGGGCTGGAGGAGGAACAGGCACGGACAGGGAGAGAGAGCTTGAGATGATTCGAGAGCAGGTGGGTTGCTTTTTTATATATATAATATGATCATTATTTAATGTTGCCTTTCTTGTTTTTGCTTCACAGACAAGCTGCTTCACTTCCAGTTCCTCTTGTCGCCCCCACCCTTGACCCATCTGTGTCGTTTCTTTTCTCCATTGCAGTTCCTCTCAAGTCTTGGTCCCTGCTTCCCCCCGTCCCTCCCTGTCGGCATCTCTGTCAGCGCGTGCTTCATACCAACACACCCCTCCTGGCCCAAACTTTCCATCCGTTTCCTCTCCCGCCCATACTCCCTTCTTCCCCCCTTTTCCCCCTTTCCCCTCCCCTTTTTCCCCTTCCTCCCCTTTTTTCCCACCCCCTTTCCCCTTTGCCTTCCTCCATTCCCTCCTGCCGCCTCCACGGGCAGTACCTGGGGCTGCGCAAGCCCAAGAAGCGAGTGATCAAGCCGAGTGAGAAGTTCCGATTCTCCTTCGACTGGGAGAACACAGAGGACACCTCACGCGACCTCAACCCCCTGTGAGTTTTGCCTCCAAGCATTTTTCAGCCCACCACAGTCTCAACTCCACTCCCTGTGTGGTTTTTTACCCATCATTATCCTTGACATCGTCTTTTCTCAGCCTACGCTGGGCTGGGCCCCAGCTACAGAAACCCCCACGAGGTGATTCTTTTCGAACTCACATTCAGCCCCATCATCGACTGTGCTTCCCACAGCATCCTCTGGCCTCTGGCCTACTGTGGGATGATGCATCCTACTAAGCTTTCCCCATCATCTCACCTCTGGCCTGTGCCTCCCTCCAGCTACCAGAACCCCCACGAGGCGCAGTTGCTGTTTGGACGAGGCTTCAGGGCCGGAGTGGACAGGAGGGAGCAGAAGAAGGTGAGATGGAGGAGAGAGAGGGAGGGTGGGGAGGGAATAGGGCATGATGATAGGTGGGTGCAGATGAAACGAAGGAAGGAAAAGAGGGTGGCGTTTGTGGTGGGGAGGGATGGGAGGTGAAGGGGTGAGGGATGAGAGGCTGGATAGAAGGCTTTGATATGGGGTTGGTGCTCTCTTATTTGATCCTACAGTCATCAGAGGTGAGATAAGGGGGTCAATGCTGATCCCCTTTCCTTACGTGGCACTGCCTTATCGTCCTACCAACAGATTCTGTTTGTTTCATTAACACTTGCTTCCTTGTGCTTGTTTCTCTCCTCATCGTTGCCCCGCTCTGCTGTGTGGTATGGTCTATAATGCGGCATCGCATGGCATGTTGCTGTATGGTTGCTTGGTGTGACATGGCCTGGCATGGCATGTTGCACTATGGTGGTGTGGGATGACATGGCCTGGCATGGCATGCTCAAATCATCTGACACATATTCCTGCGATTCTGTGCTGATTGCATGCTGACTCTATCCTGGCCTTGTCTCGCATCAGCTTGCAGCAAAGAATGAAGCAGACATGCGGGCAGCCATTCGGGTAAGAGCATGCACTTTTTTGCTCATTCCTTCCCTTTCCCTTTCCTTTCCCTTTCAGGGTATTCTCCTTCCCTTTCCCCTTGTCCCCCCTTTTTTCTCCCTCCCTTCAATCCCCTGTCGTATCGTTGCTCCTCGTTGCTCCTCCCACTCCATATCCATCGGTATGTGTGTGTGCATGTGCAATTGCGTCCATCCTCTTCTCTTCTATCGTCATAACTGGTGGAGCAGGAGAAGGAGGGTGTGGAGGAGAGGCCAGAGGATGCGGAGGCGCAGCAGAAGAGGGAGGAGGCTGCGAACGCATATGACACGTTTGACATGCGCGTTGACCGGCACTGGTCCGAGAAGAAGGTGAGAAGGGATGGGCAGTAATCAGGCTGGAAAATGAGAAAGGGTCTGTTTAAACCATCGAGGAAGAGGGAGGAGGCAGCCAACGCATATGACACGTTTGACATGCGCGTTGACCGGCACTGGTCCGAGAAGAAGGTGAGAAGGGATGGGCAGTAATCAGGCTGGAAAATGAGAAAGGGTGTGTTTAAACCATCGAGGAAGAGGGAGGAGGCAGCCAACGTGTATGACACGTTTGACATGCGTGTTGACTGGCACTGGTCCGAGAAGAAGGTGAGAGTGGATGGGCACGATTCGGCGGCATACGCCGTGCTTCTCACCCTCCTCTGTGGATCAAATCAATGCCGTGCTGCGTTATGCAGTCTCTCCACTTCAAGCCCCTTCCTCTTACCTTTCCCCTTTCCCTTTGCCCGTGTCTGCTTTCCTCTGTCCGCTCATCTCTGTCCTTGTATGCTGCCGCATACGTTAAGGGAGATCACGGATCGTGACTGGCACGTTTTGACAAGCTGTGGACAGCCTTACTTACGGTCAAATGTCTAACCATATCCATTTTCTCAAATTTCGTTCTCTCCCTCTATCCTCTCCCTCGTCCACCCTCACATCAGCTGAACGAGATGACAGAGCGTGACTGGCGCATTTTCCGGGAGGATTTCAACATTGCGTACAAGGTAGGCACCGCGGCTATACATATAAGCTTGTGATGTAGTCCGGATTTTTTACTCGACTCGAAAATCGTCTTATCTCACACACACGGGTTTCTACATTGTGTACAATACAAGGTAGGCACCGCGGCTATACATATGTGTGTTGTAGTCAGGGTTTTTTTCTCGACTCGAAAGCTGTCTTTATCACACACATGCAGATTTCAACATTCCGTACAAGGTACCGTGACTGTACGTGTAAGCTCATGTTCTAGTAACGATTGCCAATGTTTTCACTTCACAGGGCTCCAAGGTGCAGCTCCCCATGCGCAACTGGGAGGAGAGTGGGCTGTCAGCAGAGCTGCTGCGGACATGATAGCACGTGCTGACGTGCTGTCCATTCTTGCCCCACTGTCCTTCTCTCTTCCCTACCAGGGCTCCAAGGTGCCTCGTCCCATGCGCAACTGGGAGGAGAGCGGGCTGTCAGCAGAGCTGCTACGTGCCGTGAAGGAGATCGGCTACACGAAGCCGTCGCCCATCCAGATGGCTGCCATGCCCATCGGATTGCAGCAGAGGGATGTTATCGGCATTGCTGAGACTGGTAAGCGATGCACACATGGAGACGCCCACACCTACCCAAGGGTCACACCCACCAAGCCATGTAGGAGCTAATGAGGGCCGTGAAGGAGATTGGCTACACGAAGCTGTCGCCATGCCCATCGGGTTGCCACGTGAAAACAGGAGTGTTTTGAGACGTCTCAAAACACTCCTGTTTTCACGTGGCTGCTGAGGGCCGTGAAGGAGATTGGCTACATGAAGCCGTCGCCATGCCCATCGGGTTGCAGCAGAGGGATGTCATTGGCATTGCTGAGACTGGTGAGGGATGCATTGGCATTCCTGGCACTAGCATGCATGCAGGCACGGATACATTCACAACCACACCCGCTCCCACCAAGCCATCGCCCATACAGATGGCTGCCATGCCCATCGGGCTGCAGCAGAGGGATGTCATTGGGATTGCCGAGACTGGTAAGGATTTCACAAGGAATGGGTCAGTGTACCGCTCACTTTCCCCCGCACTATTCCTGGATACACACGCACACCAAGCCATCGCCCATCCAGTTGGCTGCCATGCCCATCTGCAGCAGCGCGGCGTGATTGGCGTCGCCGAGACGGGTGAGGAAGAATGAAGGATGGGTCAGATGTTATGTTATGTATGCGTGTACCGCGCGGCGCACTCAATCTCATGCTGGTATTGCCGCTCGCGAGACACGCACGCACGCACACACACACGTCAAGCCGCCGCGTCGCCTATCCACATGGTCGCCTTGCCCATAGGGCTGTGGAAGAGAGGCGCCGTTGCGTTGCCGATGCTCCATCCGTCCATCCATCCATCCATCCAATGTGGCTCGGTCATGTGAGAAAAGCTACTCCTGCTTTGTGCTGCTCTTGCGAATGTACACCCCGAAGCTGCCGTGCCGCCCATGACAGCCCCCAAGCTGCCGTGCCGCCCATGACAGCCCCCAAGCTGCCGTGCCGCCCATGACAGCCCCCAAGCTGCCGTGCCGCCCATGACAGCCCCCAAGCTGCCGTGCCGCCCATGACAGCCCCCAAGCTGCCGTGCCGCCCAGCCCATAACAGTGCCCTTCGTGCTGCCCTTATCCTCCACACTGCAACGGGCTTACCCACCCATCAACCCTTCCACTCTCTCTCCCCCCACGTATTCCCTGCATTCCCAACCCACACAGGTTCCGGAAAGACATGTGCCTTCGTGCTGCCCATGCTGACGTACATCTCCACCAAGCTGCCGCCCATGACCGAGGCCAACGAGGCTGAGGGGCCTTTTTGAGGCGCCTCAAAAAGAGGCCAACGAGGCCGAGGGAGCCTTCCCATCCCACCACATGCACCCTGCCTGCCTGCCTCCCCAGCCCACCGAGGCTCTGAAACTTCATACAAATCGCTTCCCCACCCACCCAGGTTCCGGCAAGACGTGTGCCTTCGTGCTGCCCATGCTGACGTACATCTCCAAGCTGCCGCCCATGACCGAGGCCAACGAGGCTGAGGGGCCGTACGCGGTAGTCATGGCGCCCACCAGAGAGCTGGCACAGCAGATCGAGGAGGAAACAGTCAAGTTCGCGCAGTTCATGGTGAGATAGGCGTCTCATGCGTCTCATTGTCCTGTGTCCCTGGATTCAGAGCTATCATCAAGGCTGAAGGGCCGTACGCTGTGGTCATGGCGCCCACCAGGGAGCTGGCACAGCAGATTGAGGAGGAGACCGTTAAGTTCGTCCAATTCATGGTGAGCTAGACGTTTGGGGCGTCTCGTTGTGCCACTGATAAGGTGATAGCAAGCAACGATTTTGAGGGGCCCTACGCTGCGCTGTGGTCGTGGCGCCCATCAGGGAGTTGGCAGGCGCAGAGAGGAGATTGTGAAATTCGCCCAGTTCATTGTGAGGAGTATTGGTTGTATTGTTCCCACCCCATGGCACCTCTGACGTGATAGCTTTGTGCTGTCGTCATGGCTCCCAGGTGACTTTTGAGTCGACTCAAAGGTCACCTCGTTCATGGTGAGGAGTATTGGTTGGATTGTTCCCATCCCACCCTATGGCACCTCTGACGTGATAGCCCTGTGCTGTGCTGTCGTCATGGCTCCCACTAGAGAGCTGGCGCAGCAGCAGACCGAAGAGGAGACGGTCAAGTTTGCTCAGTTTTCCCTTTCTTTTCTTTTCCTCCCCTCTCCGCTTCCTTCCCTCCTTGTCTGCTGCAGAATCTCCGGGTGGTGTCGATTGTGGGAGGGCAGTCCATCGAGGAGCAAGGCTTCAAGCTGAGACAGGTGAGAGGCTTCAAGATAAGGGTCAACAACGCACCTTCTCCTTATCCTCCCTCCACTTGCTGTCACCTCTAAAACAAGGCTGCTGGTTTCCGTTGTTTCTCGGTCCGCCCTAGTGCTACCCCTATAATCTGCCAGAAATGTGAAATTGTGCTCACGGCTCACCTTTTTTTGTCAAAGAAATAGATCCTTTTTCTGCCTGGGAGGTCATGCTGCTCACACAGGTGCCTGGGAGGTCATGCTCACACAGGTGCTGCTCTTCATCCGTTTTCCTCGCTTCCCCCTCCTCCCTCATCCCTTTCCCCCCCCTGTCTGTCAGAGCTGTGAGATTGTGATCGCCACATCGGGGCGGCTGTTAGACTGCTTGGAGCGGCGCTATGCTGTGCTGAACCAGTGCAACACTCACACAGCCGCTGTTTGTTTTCTTCCCCCCCTTTCCTTCTCCCCGTCACTGCCCCTGTACTTCAGGGCTGTAAGATCGTGATTGCCACGCCAGGGTGGCTGCTGGACTGCTTGGAGCGGCGGTAAGCCGTTCTGAACCAGTGCAACACTCACACAGCCGCTGTTTGTTTTCTTCCCCCCCTTTTCTCCCCCCCGTCACTGCCCCTGTACTTCAGGGCTGTGAGATCGTGATTGCCACACTGGGAAGGCTGCTGGACTGCTTGGAAAGGCGCTATGCCGTGCTGAACCAGTGCAACACGCACACAGGGCCTGCCTTGCCTTCTCCTCCTTCCCTATCCCCCTTGAACCCCCCTACTCTCTGTGCCTTTCTCAGGGCTGTGAGATTGTGATTGCCACGCCAGGGCGGCTGCTGGACTGCTTGGAGCGGCGCTATGCCGTGCTGAACCAGTGCAACTACGTGGTGCTGGATGAGGCTGACCGCATGATTGACATGGGCTTCGAACCGCAGGTGTGCATGCCGGGTTACCTCATGTGCCTACCGTATCCCTCACATGGGAACCAGTGCAAGCAACTACGTGGTGCTGGATGAGGCTGACCACATGATTGATATGGGCTTCGAGCCGCAGGTATGTAAGGGGTTACCCCTTTGTATGAGCCTAGTGATGCACGCCTATTCCTCAGCTATACATTGGGCCTGGAGGGTGCTGAACCAGTGCAACTATGTGGTGCTGGACGAGGCTGATCACATGATCGACATGGGCTTTGAACCGCAGGTGTGATGCCCTGTACATGGGCATTGAGGGAGGGAGGGTGCTGACTCAGAGCATGCAACTACTTGGCCCCGGATGAGGCCGACTGCATGAGTGACATGGTCTTGGAACGTTAGATGTGATGCATCATGCATGAACCTCAGCGTACCCATCACATCACATCACATCACTTCACATCACATCACATCGCATCACATCACATCGCATCGCATCGCATCGCATCACGTTTGCCCCACATGGGCCTCGAGGGTGCTGAGCAGTTGCAATGCGTGTTTCTTTCTCTTTTGAAATATTTTGAGAGTGACAAAGCTTTGACCTATGCTTCGCGCATCTACCACGTGACCTACATGTTCATTCCCTCTTCCTCCGCCACCCCTCTTGCACGTTCCGAAGCAGGTGACAGGAGTGCTAGAGGCCATGAACACAGCGTTCCTCAAGCCGGAGAGCGAGGACGCAGAGCTGGACGCTTCCCGTCTGATCACTCTCTCCCGTTTCCTCCCCCCTTCCACCCCCCTCCGTGTGCACATTCTGAGCAGGTGACAGGAGTGCTAGAGGCCATGAACACAACGTTCCTCAAGCCGGAGAGCGAGGACGCAGAGCTGGACGCTTCCCGTCTGATCACTCTCTCCCGTTTCCTCCCCCCTTCCACCCCCCTCCGTGTGCACATTCTGAGCAGGTGACAGGAGTGCTAGAGGCCATGAACACAACGTTCCTCAAGCCGGAGAGCGAGGACGCAGAGCTGGACGCTTCCCGTCTGATCACTCTCTCCCGTTTCCTCCCCCCTTCCACCCCCCTCCGTGTGCACATTCTGAGCAGGTGACAGGAGTGCTAGAGGCCATGAACACAACGTTCCTCAAGCCGGAGAGCGAGGACGCAGAGCTGGACGCTTCCCGTCTGATCACTCTCTCCCGTTTCCTCCCCCCTTCCACCCCCCTCCGTGTGCACATTCTGAGCAGGTGACAGGAGTGCTAGAGGCCATGAACACAACGTTCCTCAAGCCGGAGAGCGAGGACGCAGAGCTGGACGCCTCCCGCATCTACCGCGTGACCTACATGTTCTCCGCCACCATGCCTCCCAGCGTTGAACGCCTGGCCCGCAAGTACCTCCGCAACCCCGTTGTGGTATGTGCCTCTCTGTCCCCTCTTTTCCCTCTGCTCCCACTGCTCCCACTGCTCCTGTGGTACGTGCAACTATCTGCTCCCCCCCCTGCTCCCCTGCTTGCTGCTGTGCCCATTGTGTTCCCTGCTTGGTACCCTCTCGCCTCTCCTCTCCTCCTGCATGCCCCCTGCTGCGTTCTCACTATGCTTCCCGCATCTACCGTGTGACGCAGCAGGGAGGTTCCCCTCCTTCAAGCCTGCATTCTGCTCGTCTCCTTGTTTATTTACGCACAGGTGACCATCGGTACAGCAGGCAAGGCAACGGATCTGATCACACAGAACGCGTTCATGGTGAAGGACTCGGAGAAGATCTCCCTCTTGCAAGGTCCCATGCCTCTGTGTCTCTTCCTCTTTCCGTCTCCCTCGTATTCCTGTACAGGTTACTATTGGCACGGCAGGCAAGGCAACGGATCTGATCACACAGAACGTGTTCATGGTGAAGGACTCGGAGAAGATCTCCCGCCTGCAGCGCCTTTTGGAAGGGATTGGGGAGGACCGCACGGCCATTGTGTTTGTCAACACCAAGAAGACGGCCGATGGTGTTGCCAAACAGGTGGGGTGCGGTTGGGCAGGTTTTGGGGGTTGAGGAGGTGGGGTGCGGTTGGGCGGGTTTTGGGGGTTGAGGAGGTGGGGGAGGGGGGGAGATTAGGATTGGGGATTGGGGAGGTCCGCACGGCCATTGTGTTTGTCAATACCAAGAAGATGGCCGATGGTGTTGCCAAGCAGGTGAAAGGGTTATGCGGTGCGGTTGGGCTGGTGGGTGGTTGAGGGTGGTTAGGGGAAGGGTGTGTACTCAATGTTGGGAAGGACCGGAAGCGTGCTTATCTATGTGTGTGCTTGCTTGCTCCCTTGCTTGATCTTGTTCCATCCCTGCAGATCGACAGGATGGGGTTCAATGTGATCACGCTGCACGGAGGCAAGACACAGGAGCAGCGAGAGGTCAGCTTGGAGGACTGAGGCTGGCCCAAAAGGGTCGGATCTTGCCAACAAAAGTCCTTATCAGTGTGTGTTCTCCCTTGCTTCACCTCCATGCCCACACCTGCAGATCGACAGGATGGGGTTCAATGTGACCACGCTGCATGGAGGCAAGACACAGGAGCAGCGAGAGGGAGGTCAGCCTTGAGAGCCTCGGCTAATCTCAAGTGTGTGTGCTCGCTCCCTTGCATGCTCTGGATTCCCACACCTGCAGATCGACAGGATGGGGTTCAACATGACGACCCTGCATGGAGGCAAGACACAGGAGCAGCGGGAAGTCAGCCTGGAGGGCTTTGACTTATCCCAACTGTGTGTGCTTGCTCCCTTGCTATGGCCATGCCTGGTTGCTCTGCATTCCCATGCGTGCAGATCGACAGGATGGGGTTCAATGTGACGACGCTGCATGGAGGCAAGACGCAGGAGCAGCGGGAGGTCAGCCTGGAGGGCTTCAGAACGAAGAAGTTCAACGTGCTGGTGGCCACGGATGTGGCCGGCCGTGGTATTGACATCCCGGTGAGCATCAGCTGTGGTTGCCAGGCGAGCAGATTTAATAAGTCAGCTTGGAGGGCTTTCAAACGAAGAAGTTTAATGTGCTGGTGGCAACAGACGTGACGGGGCGTGGTATCGACATCCCGGTGAGCATCAGATGGGATTGCCTCAAAACAAAACAGATGATGAGAGTACCAGCACCAATCGGTCAGCCTGCAGGGATTTCGATCCAAGTGAGCAGGTACTGATATGTCAGCGTGAAAGGCTTTCGATCAGAACGAAGAAGTTCAACGTGCTGGTGGCCGCAGACGTGGCTGGGCGTGGTATCGACATCCCGGTGAGCATCTATCTATCAGAGTGTGTCTTCGAAGCTGTTATGGTGTTGTGGTGTTGTATTGTTGTGATGTTGTGGTGTTGTGGGGGGGGGGGGGCGATAGATGTTCAATGTGCTGGTGGGTACAGACGTGGCGGGGTGTGGTATTGACATCCCGGTGAGCACTGACTGTAATCAGTATCAAAACACGCTGGCGCTGGTGGAAGGGAGATAGCCACGTGATAAAAGATTTGTTTTGAGACGTCTCAAAACATCCCGGTGAGCACTGACTGTAATCAGTATCAAAACACGCTGGCGCTGGTGGAAGGAAGAAGCAATTGTGTCGATGTCTGGGCGATCGTTTGCTGGAAGGGATTCTTGTTGGGAGGAAAATCCAGAATTTTACTGCTCTTCGCATGATTGAGTGAGTGAGCAAGTGAGTGAATGACTGACCAGTGAGAGGGTGTGAGTGCAGGAGCCTTCATGCTAATTCATCAACCCTTCATCCACACGTCTCCCTTCCATCCAATCAGGACGTGGCACATGTCATCAACTTCGACATGCCAGGCAACATTGAGATGTACACTCACCGCATTGGTACGCTCCTCTTTTCTCCTCCATCACATCTTTCGTCACACATCACTCGCCCCTCTCATTTTGTTTGACTCACTGAAACACCCTCTCCTTTCCACTAACCGTTCCCTCCCCCCTCTCTTTCCCCACCCCACCCCACCCCACCCCACCCTATCCCCCTATACGACTCCGTTTCTCTTTGACCTGCTGGGCACTGCAGGGCGAACGGGGCGTGCAGGCAAGACAGGCGTGGCCACCACCTTCCTCACGCTGCACGACTCGGAGCTCTTCTACGACCTCAAGCAGGTGTGCTGTTCACCCCTGAGACGACCAGACGACTCAAAGGTGACTCTAGAACTGTCTCAAAAGACAGGCGCGGCGACCACATTATCACCTTCTCCACGCTGCATGACTCGGAGCTCTTATACGACCTCAAGCAGGTGTGCTTTGCCCTCGTTAGCGGGCGATGACTGTCTGAGCCAACTCAAACATGACTGTTGAGTTGAGTCAACACAAATGACAGGCGTGGCATCCACCTTTCTCACGCTGCACGACTCGGAGCTCGTCTACGACCTCAAGCAGGTGTGCTCCTCGCCCTTGAGTCAACTCAGAGGTGTGATGTGTGAGTTGTCTCAAGCATCCACCTTTTTCACGCTGCATGACTCCGAGCTCTTATACAATCTCAAGCAGGTCTGCTCCCCACTACCCCCGCTCCCCCCCTCTCCCCTCACCCCGCCCCCCCTTCTCCCGGCTCCCCTCTCTCCCCTCTCTCCCCTCTCTCCCTGCTCCCCGCTCCCCGGTCCCCGCTCCACTGCCCGCACCCTCCTCTTCCCGCTGCTCTCTCTCCCCGCTCCCCCCCCTCCTTCTCACGCTGCATGAATCGGACCTCAAGCAGCTCCGCTTCCTCTTTACTGCTCCTCTTTTCCCTCCCGCTCCTCCCCTCCTCTCTTTCAGTCTTCTACGGTCTCAATCAGACCTCTTCCCCCTTTTTCCATGCTCCGCTTTTCTCTCCCTTCCTCCCTCCTCTTCTCTTGTGCACTTTTTTTTGACCTCAAACATGCCTCCTCTCCTTTCCAATCCTCCCCCCCCCCCCCCCCCCTCCCTCCCCCTCCCCTACCCCCTTGTCCCTTCTCCTCCAATCACAGATGCTTACTCAGAGTGGTTGTGCCGTACCTCCCGAACTCGCCCGGCACGAAGCTGCCAAATTCAAACCAGGTACGGCTCGACCTTCGCCTTTTCAGTGAGCTTTTACTTTGTAGCTACTTATGAATCGTTGGTTCAATTTTTTTCACAATATTTCAATCGCTTATCATTTTGAACGCGTTTCATTCACTCCAATGTGGTGCACTTTTTGCTTCGTGCAGGTTCCATTCCGGACAGGCCCCGTCGTAGCGAGCAGCTTTTCACACATTGATGAAGTCTTCATTCCAGGCATTTTTAAATGGTTGGTGTTTCACATTTGGATTAGTTATACCAACATGCCTAGTACCGATGACTAACTACTTTCTCACATTAAGTCTCACAGTCTAGCACCAACTGAAACAGAGCAAGTGCATTAATGGTACTGCGTATGTTACAAACGTAAATGCGGAAGCCCTTCTTTCTGGAAGGAACTGCGGCTGACTCGTTCGTTCCTCGTCTTTCTTTCTGCAGGCCAGCGCGCCTCGTAATGACTTTTCCTCATCTTTCGTGACTCCTGCCCGATTTCGAATTTGACTACAGTGCCGCCTTGCTAAGCAGAGTTCTTGGAAATAAAGCACACGAAGAATTTGACTACAGTACTGCCTTGCTAAGCAATAAGTTGTCTTCAACTGACCTGAAGAGTTACAACTGTACCAAGAAAGTGACCCTTGCCAAGTATTACCGTGTCCTCGTCATCTTTATTCTCGCACACATCATCTTCACGACTGTTTCAAATCGCTTGGGATTGACTCATCTCACCGACCTTCTCAAACAAGCCATCACGATTCTCACCTCACCGCGTCTTCTCGAAAGCACAACGCGCTGGGTAATGAGTGCGGTAATGTATTCTTTCATAACGGTACCTCTCGTTACGGGGGACTTCGTTCACCTAACTGACTGTGAGTAGGAATGACGGAACCCTAATTCACATGATTGACTCATTTTGACGTTCCCATGTTGCGTGTTCTTTCTTAGCTCTGGTCTACGCGTCTTTGTCAACTAAACTCGCCTCGTCGCACTTTCGGTTTCGTATGCATCTATAATAGTGCCGTCTTTACATGTTTATACTTGCCTCACGACCCTAATGCTAGAGGGTCTTCAGTTCTTTAGTGGCATTCTCGAGCATCAGCTTTTGAAAGAAGGGCCTATCTTAAGTGTGTCGCAATAAGCGTCGCCGCTTGCTGAGACGGGTTACGCAGTTACCACTTCCGTTTCTTCGTTTTCTTCGTCCAACGGCATGGACATCGCGAGTGTGAGACATTGACATCCTCGACCCTTCGCAGGTACTTACCTAAAAGAAACGAACAATGAAATATGATAACGAAGAACATGAGTAAGAAAAGAAAAAGAATAAGACAAAAAAAAAATCTTGCTTTCTCGTCTTTCCGTGTTTCGATGGCCCTCCCTCTTCGTTGTACAAACATCCTACAGTTTTTACTGTCACGCTGGGCTGTCCTAACCAGGTGCGTGGCTGTAAAACGAGTGTTAACTGTACTGGGGGCTTTACTCTAGCCACGCTTCTGGCTGCGAAACGAAGTGTTTCTGTATTGCGAGGTAGACCTGACGATATTTCTGGCTCTGTATAACGGATGGTTACTGTACTAGGCGGTCGGCTTAGCGAGACGTCTAGCTGCATTGCAATCTCGAGTCCTATCCTGTTGTCGCATGGTCCAGTCCTGCTGTCGCACGGCCGACTTCTGTTGTTGCACGGTAATGCTGCTGTCGCACGGTAATGCTGCTGTCGCACGGTAATGCTGCCGTCGCACGGTAATGCCGCCGTTGCATCAGACTGGGACACGCGAATACCCACCCAACTACATTGCGGTCGCCTCCGCACCTCAAGTCCCTTTGATGCCCCCATTCTCCTCCAAACCCCAATGCCGACGCGCTCCGCGTAGCTCATTCGCCTTGGTTCTCTGCACGGGGAGGTCTCGCTTTGGTTGTCTCCCATCAATTGCCTCGTGTCCCTTGTCCTTTATGATACACACCAATTTGCGTGTGCCCCTGCATTCCCGCCCCTCCCTGGTTCCCCCCTCAATCTCCCGCCCTTCCATCCCCCTTTCCTCCTTTACTCCTCATGTCATCTCTCTGCCTCCCTTCCTCCCTCCCCTTGTTCCCCTCCTCCCAATCTCTCCTTTCGTTCTTTCTCCATTCCTTCTCTTCTGCCGTCCTGTCCCACGCTTCTCCTTTACTCCTCTCACCTCACCTCATCCTCTTTCCTCCTTACCTTCTTTCCTCTCCTCCCCTTTTCTCCCTCTTCACCTCTCCTTCGCTTCTCTCCGTCCTCGCATCCTCTCTCCCTCCTCCTCTCCCCTCCTCCCATCCATCCCTTCATTCCCTCTCCCCTCCTCTAGTCTTCCCTCATTCCTTCCTCCCCCTCCCTCCATAATCTCCCGCCCGTCCTCTACCGTCTCCCATTTGCTTCCCTTCTTCCCTCCTCTCACCTCCTCCCGTCCTCTACCATCTCCCCTCCACTCTTTTCGTCCACTCCCCTCGTTTCCTCATCTTCTCTGCTTCCTTCATCTCCCCTCTTCTCTCCTCTCCCCATCCACTCCTCTCCTTCCCATCCCTCATTTCCCTTCCCCCTCAACCCACCCCCCCTCCCCCCCCTTCCTGCTACCGGTATTGGACCTCACAGAATTTTCAACCCTTTTGTCTCTCGCCTCTATCTGCTTTTTCTTTCCACTTTACCTCGCTGCACTCCTCTCCTGACCTCTTCTGTTTTTGTGGAAAAATTCCTCCTGGCTCTTGCTACTCCTTCCATTTCGCCTCCGCTTGTTTTCCCACTGCCCATTTCCTCACTGCCCGTTTCCCCACTGCCTGTCCCCCTCCCTCTGGTTCTAATCTCTTCCCTTTGTCTCCCTACTCCTGTTTCTCTCCTACCTCCCGCTATTTGCCATTCTCCTCTTCTCTGAACCCCATCATGGCCCATCCCTTTACAGATGGCCTCCTATACCAACGACCAACTACTGCTAACGAGCTCCTCTTTCCTCTAGACCACACTCAACCACCTATCACCGCAGCACCGCCTCATCGAACCTTTTCATCGGAACCATCTTCCCAGCGTGCCTGTTGAGAACTCCCAGTGAACCGTTTCAACTTGATTAACCATCTGAGCACCAGCACCCTGCACCAGCGACTCCCACCCACCCCGTTCTCCCCCTCCTCTCCCTCGCCTTACCACCACCTTGGCCATGGGCTGTGCGATCAGCATCTCAGCAGACGAAAAAAAAGGCAAGGATGCCAAAAGTGGCGACGCTCCAGCTGCTCCTGCAAAGCCAGCTGTCACCTTCACCCCCATTGATCGCTCCATGCCTCCCATCGTATCTGGTGAGGTGCTCTCGATGCCCCAGACCAGAAAACCCATGGAGTCGATATATGAGCCCAAGGAGGGGTAAGTAAAAACACCCTCCGTGTGTGTGTGCCAGTGTGTGGGAGTGGAAGTTGGCGAGCGGAACAGAGGTGTATGTATGTGGGTCCATGGCTTGTTTGGGTTACTGGGTGGAATTTGGTGGTGTAATGTTATACCAGCAAGTACAATAGTGGTCTAGAATTCGCCTGTCCTGCTTTCACTGTTGACAGGATGCGGTTTTGAAGCTTGAGATAGATACAGTAGTTGACATACCCAGGAGCTTGTGTTGCTCCATCCATGGATGTTTGGATTACGCTAGATTTGAGGTGTAGTTATTACTTGTAGTCAGGCCTGAAATTGTTTTGCTGTTTGGTATTACAATTTATGTAGCCCAGTCGTGAGAAAAAATACCACTGTAGTACCGTAAGTTCCGAGCAGAAACAGTAGTGGGGGATAAACTTTGGAACTCAGGCATTCCCGAAAGTCAGGAATCTGCTAGAAAGGCATAGTGCCGGCGTAGCGGAAACGTGTTTGTAGAAAAGAACAAGATAGAAATCTTGCATTGATCATTGAAAAGTAGAATGATGTGATGACACAATTATAACTTAATGATAACTCAATGATGTGACACAGCAGGGAATAGGTACGGTATGCATCCAGCTACCCCTCTAGAATGACCCATTCACACCAATAATTGTACCCTCTACCCTCCAAAAATGCTGGGCTCCAATAATTGTGGCCCCTACAATAATTGTCACAATTATTGTAGGACCTAGAAGCTTATCAAGAGGACTACACTAAAACCAAACAGCACACTGGTATACAGTATTCGTTATACTGTACTCGGATTTCCAACAGAATCTACCCCACGCCTGCTTAGCAGCACATGCTTGTACATGTTTAGGACGCGTCAGCTGCCTCGATCGATCCTGCGCAGGATCGATTTTTGATTCGGTTCAAAAAGTTTTCAAGCAAATTTAAATGCAACACGCGGGATTTTAGTGCGGTGGACGATCGATCTTCCTCGATTTTGCATGATCGATCGAGGGAGGTGACGCGTCCTTAGCAAGCACAGCCTGCTTTACCAGCTTCATGAGCATATCGGCCTCCTTAGCCACTGACTCACTCTCACCATACCTCCTCTTCACTACCGGTATCTCCTTCACTCTAGTTCTCTGTAAATCCAATCTAGTTACGTTGGATGCAATTAGCTTGGTGAGAACTGGATGTCGATACATTTTGAACAAAATAATACATGAGATGAGATACAAAGACACAACTGTGTGGCCATAAACGCCTAGGCATTCCTGAGAATAAGGTATCTGCCCCACGCCTGCTTAGCAGCACGTGCTTCCTCATGCTTGGCAAGCACAACCGGCCTGAGCAGCTTCACAAGCCTATCAGCCTCCTTAGCTGCTGACTCACTCTCACCATACCTCTCCTCTAACTCTCCCACACTAGCTTTCAACCCTGCAACTTTCCTTGCGAGCCTTTCCCTCTCCACAATCGCACCTTGCAGCCCTTGCCTTCTTTCCAAAACCAACGCCTCAGCTCGTTGCACCTTCTGGCTCATTGCTCCTGCCACTCTCTCTGCCTGAGCCTTCACCAGTTCTGCCTCCTCTCGATGCAGCCTTGCTCCCAAGGTCCGTGTTCCTGCCGACTCAACAGTCATGGCTCGGCG